ACTACCCCCCCCCCCCCCTTAAAAAAAAAAAAAAAAAAAAAAAAATCAAAATGACCACTTTATTCCCACAGTGGCAACAAAATACAAACACAGAATCAGAATAATTCCCCCCCTCAATTTGACAGCGGATACCAGCAGTCCCACTCACAAAGGCCACATTGAGACCCTCCTCACATACAAAGACCTTCTTTTACCATACAGGCGTCATCCTTTAACAATCCCCTATCACCACAACAAAAAGACCCTCTTCCCCTCCGTTATGGAATGCACAGCGCTGCAATTCTTTGTTAACTATCAGTGGATCTGAGGGGCTCCTTTCGAACTGCTGTTTGATATACAGTAGCTAAGACATACTGTGAGGGGTTTAATTTAGCCTGCTAAATCCGTCCGTAAACAACATTCTTTACTTTACTAATTTTGATCTGATTATGTGAAAGACAGTATGTCCAAACCAAGCGTTCTCTGCAGGGTGAACACATTTTTTTCCTGGATTGAAGACAAAAGAAGGTCATGTCATCCCCAAAAAGGATGTAACAGAGTCACGGCATGACCTTTTTCCACACTGAGGTGGAAATCCAAAACACAGACAATAGACTGCATCATGTCCGGAAAGACACACAAAGGAATGACTTCCATACAGCCAATTACACATCATAGAGCAATGCACCATCATTTCAGCTTCATAGTTTACAGGATCAAAATAGGTGATGGCTGTTTTATCCGAAGACAATAGAATTGTGCTGCAGCATCCTGTTTCCTCCACCCACCGTCAAAATAACCCACTCTTTTCCATAACTTCACTGCACCTTCCAAACAGTTTGGAATGATGATGCGGGTTGTATTTATTTGCACCATTTCCATAAAGCTCTCAATATTGTAACAACGATCCATCATATCAAGAAACAAAGATGGTTCTTATGAAATTTATGAGGTTCAAACACTTGCTGTCTAATATTTTTTATTGTCTGTCACTCTTAGTGTGTTTTCATATTGGTAGTTTCGTCCATTTATACAACAGAGATGCCTTTTAGTTCTGATCGACAGACAGATTCGAGCCTTTAACCTTCCAGTCGTGAGACATCTGCTCTACCCACTGCACCACTGTCACCCCTTTAGATTGCCACTGGGCATCTTATGTCATTGCTCCTCCAATTTAACATGGCACTGGTTGGCACATTGTCACACTTATGATGGACAGTTAAAAAATATGTAAAAAAAAAACTGACTCAGCAGAACCAAAATGTTTTTTGTCAAACATTCATGCAGTTTGAAGGCTTATAGTCAGTTTGACTAGCAGCGGCTAGTGTCCAGCTGGTGTAGTGTCTTGTAAAGTAATATTGTACAAGGATATGTGTGGACACAAGCTCAACACCCATATAAACACCTAAACTAAACAATCCACTCAAGTACACCAGAATTGGACTGAGCCTGTGAAGCTCAAACTCTGCTGCAGACGAAAACACCTGGACTGAGACCACTTAAAAATTTCAATCTTGATCTGCTTCCAAAACACTCAGTTGCAGGTACAGTTAATTTGTGGTGTGAAATCAAAGCAGACCCACAACAGAATTGTGAAACACTAGATATGTAAACTTAACATGAACTACTAAACCAGTTTGCTGGGAATTATGATAGAAACCATCTCAAAGCAATCTACTGTATATAATAACATGTAAGCATGAGGTAGGGATCAAGTGAACCAAACTACATGTGTAAAAGAGACCTTGGGGTATGTTCAGAAAAAAAGCTTTTTAACTGTGTACTATATCAGATCCCGAACTATAAAGTCAGAACGTGCAACGAGAGACACGTGAATCCAGACCACCTACTGTAGCACCGCACTGGGGCTCTGCAGACAGTGGCCATAAATCTGACACCTATGTGAAGCATACTAGTCAAAGACAGTCAAAGACTTCTAACACCCAGTCTCAACCCTAGAAAATTTTATGTTACACTAGACATGTTTCATCAAAGCGGCACACACAGAGGCAGAAGATACATCTTTGTGTCTGATACTGAAGGGTCATTTCCACCATAGACATTCAGATGAGCTAATACTAAATCATCCTACTGTCTCGCATTCTTCTATAAAAACACTCTGACATTTTCTCTAGACATTCCAGAAATGTTTTAAAATTGTAAATGAGAACTTATCATATACTTTTGTTATAAAAACTGTCAGACAACAGTGAATGACGATAAACCAGGGAAGTTCCTCGGATCCGTTTTGCTTCATGTTTATAGTATCATTCTGCAGTGTTGATCATCTTTTATGTCCTGTCAGCTACCTTCAGTGGCCCGAGGGACCCACGTGCTTTCAATAAAAAAAACAACAAAAAAAAAACTGACTCCTCCTCACATATAAATTAACCTGTGTACAGTATTTGTGTACACCAGTCAGACCACACACGCACAAGGGAGGAGAAATAAAACCTTATATACCAGATAAAGTGGAAAAATAGGACAAGTCTGTCAAAGTAACCTGATGTTCCTCACATAACAAAATCCATTCCTCTTTTTCCAGATTCATGAGTTATGGAGTATGTCTACCAATCAATCACTATAAAGAGCGTTACAAGAAGAAAGTAAGGGTTAATGTGAAATGCAGCTCAGAGATGTTTCGTTAGGAGGAAGTCTACCATTTCCCTAAAGAAACACTCCAACATTTGTTTGCTTTCTTAGATTTCAGGCATTTCAGCCACTGCCTTTGACTGTGCTTCTGTGACAAAGAAGTGTAGAAGTGTACAAATTCTTGATGTCACAGTGGACAGATTAATGCCTGAATGAGAAGGTTGCTTTAGTTGCCTCCCTGTTCTTTATGGCTGTACTGGTTCCTCAGTCCCTATGTGCACCATCTCCTCCTACTGTAGGCAATGAAATAAAAGCAGCTGGGTCAACAGCACTCTTTCTCACACTCAGTCCCCCCCCCGATACACACACATATATTATTGTTATTAATGCTATTAGAATGAAGAATGTAGAGTTTATTTGGCTTTGTAAATTAGGTACAGATGGTTTTACATGCTGTTATTAATCAACAATGTGTATTTAGATGTCCTGTTATCATGGGAGGATCCAGGGTGTGGACAGGGGTACCACCAGCCAGCGCCAGGATATGATTGGCCACTGCTGCCAGAGTCAAAATAACCCTGACCCTACTTGGCTGGGATCAAATAAGGAGTGCAACCAAAATTTGCTAAAGACAGCATTGTGGGTGTCTCATTTTTGCATGTTGTTTATTATTTCATAGAACTATGTGTTTTATTTACTTTTTTACATGTATTTCAAACAGGCCACCCCTCTCTAAGTCTGTGCTCCAACCTGGCCACCCCATCCAAAAATTTCTAGATCCACCCCTGCCTGTTATAAGACACTAGTGGACAGATTTACTTATTATTGTCTACTATATGTCAGGATAGTTTGGAGTATACTGTCACACAGGGCACCTTACCAAAGCAAAACAGTGTCTGTGATAGCAGGTAATGTACAGTAAAACCAAACTATTTTGTGGTATTACTTGCTGATAATGACAATGTTCTTTACCTGTTACAGGTAAATCACTTGTGTTTTTATCCTCAGCTAATGCAAGTGACTGAGGGCACAATTACAAAGAATACATCACTTTTCCCCATTTACTATCTAACAGGACCATGG